CGGGAAAAAAAAAAGGGGAGAGGGAGATCAACCCCCTCCCCTGTTAGATCACACAGCAAATGTCCCATTGAAGACCTTTTCCCGAAATCGCATTTCGTCTTTTTCAAGCAATATTACATGTGGACTTCGGAAAAAAAAAGGGGGAGAGGGAGATCAACCCCCCCTCTCCTTTGCGAGGACACTGCAAACATCGCATTGAAGATCTTTTCCCGAAATCGGATCTCGTCTTTTTCAAGCAATATTACATGTAGAAAAAAAAAAAAAAAAAGGGAGAGGGAGATCAACCCCCTCTCTCCTTTGCGAGGACACTGCAAACGTGGCATTGAAGACCTTTTCCCAAAATCGCATTTTCATCTTTTTCAAACAATATTAAATGTGGAAATCGAAAAAAAAAAAAAAGGGTAGAGGGAGATCAACCCCCTCCCCGATGAGATCACACAGCAAATGTGGCATTGAAGACCTTTTTCGGAAATCACATTTCGTCTTTTTCAAGCAATATTACATGTGGAATTCGAAAACAAAAAGGGGGAGAGGGAGATCAACCCCCCCTCGCCTTTGCGAGGACACTGCAAACGTCGCATTGAAGACCTTTTCCCGAAATCGGATCTCGTCTTTTTCAAGCAATATTACATGTGGAAATCGAAAAAAAACAAAAGGAGAGGGAGATCAACCCCCCCTCTCCTTTGCGAGGACACAGCAAACGTGGGATTGAAGACTCCTTTTTTTATCTATGCACGTGCAAAATTTCCTGCTTTCTCACATCACTCAAAGGGCTGACCTGACCATCAGTTGATCAGACTATTATCGAACAGGTATTGATTCAACACTTCAATTTTCGTAGCTGGTTCTTTCAACTTTCCAGGTTTAATTTTGCGTCATGCCGCCAAGATGCCCGTCCATATTCTGGAGCTGGTCTTTCGTTTGGAGAAATCTGTTAACAGCAAGCAGGTTCACACATTGACTCCATCCGCGAGGGCCCAATCTCTTCTCAGAATATATTCAGCAAGAGGTACCCATTGCTTCTGAAGTTCTGATACTTTTGGAAGCAGGCTTTCATAATTGACTTAGCCAGCAAGCCTATGTTCTGGTCTCGCGGATCCAGAAAGCCAAGGCCTCCCTGGTCCCTTGGTTGGCACACAAGGTCCCATGCAACTTTATCAATAAAACCCTGCTGTTCTAAGACCATGGACTTCCAAAAATACTGCGTTGCCACCCTTTTGATTTGTGAATAAGCTTTATCCCCCAAATAATGGATAGTGAGAGGAAACCACAGGATTGAAAAGGCTGCTGAAGTGAGCATTAGGGCCCTCTCAAAAATCGATAGCTTGTGACTCCTTATCCAGCCAAAATCCTTACACACACCTTTTCTTGAATGATCTTGTCTTGGGCTTGTGAGCAATTTGACCCGAGGAGTCGCTCCGAGCGCTCGGGGGGAACTTCTCTGAGGCCCCAGTTAACACATTTTGAATGGGGCAGGGAGCAAAAACACAGATTTATCCCAGTTTATAGATGTTTCGGATAGAACACAATTATATTCATCTAATGGAAGCTCGTGTGTTCTCACTAACAATTGTGAGATCATCGGCTATAGCCCCCCCCTTCCAATGAATGGAAGGGGGGAGCTATTATCCTCTTATACTTGTATTACATCTAATATTATCAAGCAATACCTCTAACTAAGGAACAAACAAATGGGGTGCCAACGGGCAACCCTAGCGCAGGGAGCAGGTAAGGTTGAATGCCTCAGACAGTCTACAATTGACCATTACTACCGAAGAGGCTTCTTAGTACATGGCCCTTACACACTGTAGAAAGTGGGGGCCAAAGCCCATATGGGACAGTGTCGTAAATATAAAGGACCAACCCACCTTATCATACGCTTTCTTTATGTCAAGGAGAAGTTGCTATTTCCTTTTTTTCCAAAGGGATGACCTCAAGGGCTTGTAAGGTAGTCATGGTATTATCAAAAAGCGTACGTCCCTTGACGAAAGCCCTCTTTTCCAAACCAATTAGGCTGGGCAGATATTCTGTCAGTCTGATGGTCCGAGCCTTAGCTAAGATCTTGTAGGCTACATTCTACACAGAGATGGGTCTGTAGTTCCTCACCTCCGACTTGTTGCCATTTTTATAATGAAGGGAGATATATCCTTTTAAAAAACCTGTCGGAAGTGAGCCTACTTCTCTGATGTTATTATAGACCTTAGTCAAGAAGGGGCCAAAAACGTCCCAGCATTCCACATAAAGCTCTACTGGGAGCCCATCCAGCCCGGAACATTTACCTCGTGTCGTCGGTTTTACTTTTTTCCCCAATTCTTCCACCAAGAAAGGCTCCTCAAGAGACCACATCATTCCTGGTGAGAGTCTAATCCTGGTTTTGTCCCAGAAGGGACTGCTGTTGGACAAGTCTGTTTCACAGGAGTCAAGCCTTAGGGCCTTCTCGTGCTGACGATATCATTAAAATAAGGGGTAACTACGGCGCAGTCACGAAAGCAGTTTGTAATTGCATTTGAAACTGCGATTTAGCAGTTTAGTCAAGGCCCGAGTTTCAATTGCAGTTGAAACTCAGGCTGTGCAGCTCAGTCAGGGCCCTCGTCTATCCACGAACAGCAGATTAAAAAAAAGAAAAAAAAGACATCCCTTATGCTGTGATTGCAGTCCTATATAGGATGCTACAGTGTTTGTCTGGAACTGAATGAAGCGAGGTAGTTAGCCTCGCGTGGAATCCGCCCTGCCTGGGTGGCAGGGCGCTACAAGGACCTCACACAAGAAACAAAAAAGGAAAACGACCTGTTTCATGTTCCTCACTTCCTGGCCAGATACATTCCTCAAAGCACTGGTGAGGTGAGGGCCTTCCCGACCTAGGTGGATTCGAAGTTCCTCATTTCTTTACTTTTTTATTTCTTCTTTTTCTTTTTTCTGTTTTTGGCCTCCATGCCTGCCCCGAGCCCCCCACTTCTTCGGAGTAGGCTACTCTTGAGACTTCGCATTTGCCTGTGAAGGGTAGTACCTGTGAATCTCGGCTGTGGCCGAGACATCTCGGCCGTGGCCAATCTGGGGCGTGGCCAGTATGGGGTGTGGCCGAGACATGTCAGCTGTGGCC